GCCCGACCTGTCCCTGGGTATGTGGCGCTGGCGCGGGCCGCCGGAGGAGCCCAGCCAGTTTCCGAGGCGCGCGCGAGGGAAGGGCCCCTCTCCGGCCCGCAGCCTCCGAGGCCGCCGCGCCGCCTGCCCGGCGCTCACTCCAGGAGAAGCTTGAAAATGTTTCCGTCGCAAGTTCGGAGGTTTCGTCCGTGACGGAAAAGCCCCCGCCTCGGAGGTGCAGGCCCGCTGCCCATCCTCCAGCCTCAGCGCCCGTACAGCCGCGCTTAGAACCACTCCCCCTTCTCTGTCCCTCTCCTCTTTCTCCTCTCTCTCTTTTTTTAACCCGTGGCAGCCGGCCATAGTTTCTCACCCGGTGTCCGGTGTCCGGTGTCCGGTGGCCACTGCGACCTTCTCCGCCAGCATTCCTGGGACCCGGGCCTAGTCCCGGTATGGCCCTTACAGGCCCCTCCCGCAGCCGCCTGGCCCAGCGTGCGTGCGCTCCGAGTGCTCGGGAACGCGGGCGTGGAGGCGCCACACGCCGATCTCCGAGAACGGGCCCCGGGGATGAGCTCTGCCTGACCCGCGGCCCGGTGGCCTTAAAGCAGGCGCCGGTGCGCTCCCTGAGGTGCCCACGCCGCGGCGGAGCCTGCTGGCAAGGGGGAGGGGAAAACTGGGAAGACTGTCTCTCAAGCAGAAGTCCAGTGGGGGTGGCATGGGGGTTGGGAGAGGGTGAGAACAGGAGAGGGGTTGAAGAGAGGAGAGTGGGCGTCCTGCACTTGCGGGATGGGGGTGAGGTGTAGAAAATTTGGAGGGAGACGGCTGAGGGCTGAGTGTTAGAGCTAGAGTCTAGGTTCAGAGAAATGGTGGGCGACAGATAACCAGAAAGTGAGAAGGCCAGGCACGGGAAGTAAATGGAAGAAGGAACTTGGCGCCTCAGAGGCATTTGACCATCCTGCTCTAACACAAAACAAACTAAACAAAAAACAGGTAAAGTCAGAGCAAGTGGCAGAGTAGGTAGCTCCAAGGGCCCTCCCCTTCACAGGAACATGGAAGAATAAGCAAAACCGGTCAGAACTGACTTTGTGGGAACTCTGAAAAACAGTCAAATATTTACAGCAACCAAGCATACGCAGAGTCAAGAAAAAGATGACTTTAAGATAAATTATTGGTGGTGGGGGGAGGAGAAAGATGACTTCAATGCAGCGTAATGAGGATATCACTAGCGATCCTACAGAAATAAAAAGGATTATAAAATAATACAATGAACAATTACAATCTAAAAAATTAGATAACTTAGATGAAATGGACATATTTCTAGAAAAACACAAACTACAAAAACTGATAAGGAAAAATAGAAAATCTTAACAGACTTATAACAAAGAAATTGAATCAGTAGTCAAAAACACCCCCAAGGAAAAGCCCAGGACCACTAGTGAATTATATCAAATGCTTAAAGAACAATTAACACCCGTCCTTCTCAAACTCCTCCAAAAAACAGAAGAGTAGGGAATACTTCCTAACTCATTTTGTGAGGCCAGCATTACTTTGATAGCAAAATCAAAGACATTACAAGAAAAAGGAAACTACAGATCAATATCCCTTATAAATATAGATGCAAAAATCTCAACAAAATACTAGCAAACCAAATCCAGCAGCATATGAAAAGGATTACACACCATGTCCAAGTGAGATTTATCTCAGGAATACTAGGAGTTCAACATGTGAAAATCAATCAGTGTAATACACCATATTAATAGAATGAATGAAGAAACATGATTATCTCAATTGATGCAGAAAAGGAATTTGACAAAATCTGGTACTCTTTCACTATCAAAACATTCAAGAAACTGTAAGTAGAGGGGAACTTCATCAGCCTTATTATGGAGATTAAAAATTACAGCCAACATCATACTCAATGGTAAAAGACTGACAAATTTCCCCTAGGATCAGGAATAAGACAAGGATGCCTGCTTTTGCTGCTTCTATTCAAAATTTTACAAGCAACATTGTACTGGAAGTTCTAACCAGAGCAATTAGGCAAGAATAAACAAATAAGAGGCATCCAAGCAGGAAAAGAACAAGTAATGCCATCCCTCTTCATAGATGAGATGATCTTATACATAGAAAATCCTAAAGAATACACACACACACACACACATACACAGGCTAATAAACAAAATCAGCAACTACATTTCAGAATAGAAGATCAACACATAAAAATTAGTTGTATTAAAAAAAAATCAGTTGTATTTCTATACACTTGCAATGAACAATCCAAAAAGAAAATTATGAAAACAACTTCATTTACAATAGCATCAAAGAGAATATATTACTTGGGAGTAAATTTAATGAATTAGATGTAATATTTGCACACTGAAAACTACAAAGCATTGCTGGAATTAGGGAAGATCTAAGTGAATAGAAAGACAACCTGTACTTGTGGATTGAAAGGCTTAATATTGTCAACATTGCAATAGTGTCCAAAGCTATATACATATTAAATGCAATCCTTATCAAAATCCCAATGGTCTTTAAAAAAATAGATTGTAAAAGCTGATTCTAAAATTTATATGGAGTTGTAACAGAGTCCAAATACTATCTTGAAACAGATCAAAACAATCTTGAAAAAAATTGAGGACTCATACTTCTCAATTTCAAAACATACTACAAAGATAGAGTAATAAAAACAGTGTGAAACTGACATAAGGATAGACATATTTCCCAATGGAACAGAATTGAGAGTCCAGAAATAAGTTAATACATCTATCATCAACTGATTTTTGACAAGGGTCTCAGTACCGTTCAATTAGCAAAGAATACTCTCTTTAACCAATCATGCTGGAACAACAATCCATATGCAAAAGAATGAAGTTACACCCCTATCTTATACCCCATGCACAAAATAACTCAAAATAGGTCAGCAATTCAAGTGCAAGAGCTAAAAGTGTAAAAATCATAGAAGAAAACAGGGAAAAATTGTTATGGCATTGGATTTGGCAACGGATTCTTAGATGAAAGAAAAACTAGATAAATTGGACTTTAAAATCTTTTGTGCATCAAAAGACATTATCAGGGTGAAAAGACAACACATAGAATGAGAAAAAATATTTTGTAAATCATGTAGCTAATAAGGGCCTAGCATTCAGAATATACAAATAACTCTTACAACTTAACAAAAAGAAAAAAAAAACTAATTTTAAACTGGGCAAAGGACTTGAATAGGCATTTCTCCCAAAAAGATATACAAATGGCCAATAGACACATGAAAAGATACTTCATATCAGTAGAAAGATTTTAATCAAAACCACAGAGAGATACCACTTCATAGCCACTAGGATGGCTTTAAACAGCAACAACAAAAAAACAAGTGTGAGGATGTAGAGGTATTGGAACCTTTGTGCATTGCTCTTGGGAATGTTTAATGATGTGGCTGCTGCGGAAAACAGTTTGGTAGTTCCTCAAAAAGTTAAACATAGAATTGTAGTATTTTGTAACCCAACAATTCTACTCATAACTCTATATAAAAAACTAAAAAACATGTATTCAAACAAATATCTGCCCATGAATGTTCATAACAGCACTATTCACAGTAGCCAAAGGTGTAAACAATTTCAATGTTCATCACCAAATGAATAACTTGCAGCATATTCATACAATGGAATATGATTCAGCAATAAAAAGGGATGAAGTATTGATATATGCTACAACAGAGAATAAGCCAGACATAAAAGGTCCTATATTGTATGATTCCATTTATAAGAAATATCCAGAATAAGTAGATCCATAGAGACAAAAGGGGATTCTTAGCTGCCAGGGGATAGGGGCAAGGAAGATTTGATAGGTATGCTTAATGGGGTCTTCTTTGGAGTTGAAAATGTTTTGGATTAGTTAAGAGTGATGGTTGCACAACATTGTGAGTATACTAAATGCCATTGTATTGTACATTTAAAAATTGGTAATTTTATGTTATGTGGATTGCATCTCCAGAAAAAATAAATAATAAAGGCATGGTGTTCCAGCCTGTGATGAAGCAGCATGGATAGGAGAATCTCCTCACTCCAGCTGGAGTTTCAGCCACAGTCCCTGCAGCAATCCTATTTTGGTAGAGAAGAGCAGTTCCCTTTGGTTTGGGTGGTGGTCAGTGGCAACCTCACAACCCTCTAGAGCCTTCAGCATGGGCGTCCCAGAGTGCAGAAGCGAGGATGGGGAGCCAGCCTATGCAAGGCCCACGGCGGGGCTGTGGGCCACGTTTGTCGTGTCTCCGCCATCTACCAGCTGTGGCACCATTGGCAAAATGCCCCCAAACTCTCCAGGTTAGAGACCGGAGCCAGGTAATAAAGGAACGCCAGGTGTGCGAGAGAGGGCTTCAATCCGAGTTCTCCCTGGAGTTTTTATTCAAGGTTTTAACCGTATTTCATCAATTTTAGGACCTGGCTTTTGATGTTTTATCATCTCTGAGATCGGGATGTGTTTACAATCCAGATAGTGTGTCATACTCCAACTGCAGCATTTTTCTCTCTAAGAGATACATGAAAAGACGGCGAGTCTTGGAAACAATGTTGTCTTCCAGTCAATGAAATTGGTGTTATATATGTTTTGTGTGATCATTAGATGATATCCTCTCTCCCACCACCACACACACACACAGACACACACACTATACCCCTAGCACAGTGCCATAATAGGTGCTCAAAAAATGTTGACTGAATAAATGTGAGAATGAATGAAAACTATTTTTTAATTCCAGCCTTGGCTCTGCCATTTGCCAGCAGCTTGACTCAAGAAAAGCCAAGTAACTCCTCTGAGCTTTCCCAGTTCACGAAATGGCTGTAATAAGGCCAACAGCTCCGGGAGCGTGGGAGGCTCCCAAGAGGAAGTGTCCACAAACATGTGTACTTAGGGCGCGAGCATTCACTCCCCAAAACTTCAACCCAATGAAAAGATAGAAACAACGTTTTTTTTTTTTCATCTTTTATAACAATGTATAAATGGGAATTTAGGGGAGGGTGAAAGCATATCAATGTAAAAAAGCAGTTCAAATTTTTTTTTTAAAAAATTTCTATTTTGTAATGTAAATTGCAACTAAGAAAGCAGGGAAGAATCAGGAGGGGGCAGTTTGAAAAATCATCAACGTCGATGATTTAGAGTCTTCACGCGTCTCACGGTCTCAATGATTCTTTAAGTCGGGGCTGTCTGCAGAAGGCGGAAAGAAAATGGACATTAGAAATCAGAAGCCAAAGATTTACTGCCCATCCCACCTTCCTGTTTTGCAGTTCCCGCTGCGTATTCAAGCACTTATGGATAAAGTGCTTGCAATGGCTTCGCCCGCCTACGTACACCTTCTCTCAATATCCAACAACCGTCGCTATAGAGTCTGTTCGTCCCTCCAGAACCTGCCAACCGCCACCGCATTCCCGGAGCCTCGCTGATCCAACAGCGCGTCCACGGCCTGCCTGGCTGCTCCCAGCCCACCCCGGCGAGCGCGGAGAGCGGGCGACAGCGCAACCCGCGGCGTTGCAAGAGGAAACAGGTATTACATAACGAATGCCAGTGTTTGCCCGACACAATGCAGGCTCGAGGGCATGAAGATGTGTCCTCACTCTTCCCGTGTCCCCAGGCATTTCTTGCACCTGGTGCAGAGTGAGCCAGCGAGCTCGAGTTCGCGGTAAACAAAGGGCGCGTCAGGCTTTGGCGCGTCTCCACCGCGTGGGAAAGTTTGGTTCCAGTCCCATCGCCTCCCTCCCAACGCCTTCTCCTCCAAACCCGCTAATGGCTCCTATCATTTCTAGAACAAAACAAATGCTCCTTTCTTAGACCTACAAGACCCCTTCATGATCTGGCTTCTGGTCTCCTCCTTAATCTCGTCGCATACAGGCTCCAGCTCGCGGTTCGGTCCTCCCAGCCCTCCGTGTTCATTCCTGACTCAGTCTTTACACTTGAGAGTCTCTCTTCCTCTCGTAGCTTTCTTTTCTTCCGCCAGGTTCTCTGACCACTCTTTAGCCTCTCCTCCTATTCACACTTCACTCTTACCCATCGCATTGGTTTTACAAACTCATTCTCTGAAAATACATTGTTAATCTTGCTTAATGCATTTCCTAGAATGTAAACTCTATGAGGGCAGGATCCTGCTTTGTCTCATTCATGCAGCACCTAGAACGGGCTGATCACTGTAATAGCATCTTGAAGAGTTAATTGTGCTTGGAGAGGCGGTGTTGAGCGGAAAGGAGGAAAGAAGGGAAGGAAGGAAGGAAGGGAGGAGGAGGAAAGAAGGAAGACGTGTGTGCTTGGGTTAAACATCTTCGGTTTGGTTATTAAGGGTCGCTCATTTTACTCATTTGCCAGTGACCGAATTCAATCGTTTACTCCCTCTTCTACCTTAGCGCCTCCAGTTTCTTGCTCCGCCCCGCAACAGCGCTGTGACTGGCTTCTCCTTCTACACTGCTTCCCGGATGCAAGCTGTAATTGGAGGAGGACAGAGGGTGGGCCGACTAAAGGAGTACTTCCAGCCTCTCACTTTGAAGGTGCAATGGGCTTTGCATTGTTTCACAGCACCTCCCAGCAGAGGGCCCAGAGGTAGACTCTACATCCTGTCCTCTGTGCTCCCCTAAGACCCAGGGACCCCAAATGCCCCAGTTCTGAACCAAAATAAGATAGATTTCATTATCCTCAAAGTCATATTTTACCGTAAATATTCGTGTTAATTTTATGTATTGCTTCGTATAGCTATTTTGTTAAAACAAACGTTCTCTCTCCAGAAAAATAATCAGAGTAAAGTTGGCACTTAAGACAGACAGACGTGGGAGTAGGGGAAAAGAAAGGCTGGAAGTGGTGCTCACGCCTGTAATCCCAGCACTTTAGGAGGCTGAGGCAGGGGGATTGCTTGAGCTCATGAGTTCAAGACCAGCCTGAGCAACATAGCCAGATACCATCTCTACGAAAAATAGAAAAATTAGCTAAGTGTGATGGCCTGCTCCTATAGTCCCAGCTACTCGGGAGGCTGAGGTGGAAGGATCTCTTGAGCCTAGGAATTCGGTGACAGTGAGCTATGATGGCGCCACTGCACTCTAGCCCGAGCAACAGAGCAAGACCCTGTCAAAAAAAAAAAAAAAAAATTTAGAAAATGGCTTTGAGGTTTCTGAAGAGCAAGGTTGGGAGGACCAGGGTTCCATATTCCTTGTTTAGTGATTGCTTGCAGAAACGGAAAGTCATGGAAATTTTAAATGAAGAAGAGGTAAAAGAGAGAATCTCTGTTTCCCTTAGAGTGCTGCAAATTCAGGTGTGCAGACTGCGAGGACTGACGAGATCTCCATCCAGATGCTCTCAGAAGCTCTGGAAAATTCCACCACTAAAGTGGAAGATCACATTAGTAGGGTTGTGCAAAACAGCAGAGAATGACAGATGATGCCACAGCACAACTGTGTGTGGAAGTCGCGGGGTTGGTCCAGCCACCTATGTATGCGAATGGGGAAACTGAGACCTGATGAGTGGATGTGGCTGGCCAGCTAGTTTGGAGGAAGAGGGAGCACTAGACCTCTAGCCTCTTGAGTCTTCAATGCTCCGCAGTCTAGGCCCAGAGCTGCGGGGAGAATGAGTATTTGGGTTGTTGTGGGTTGGGTAGGGCTTATAGGATGAGCTTTCACGTGCGCAAGTCCATTTCCGGCTATTTTCCATCTGTAGCCCTGGCTAGGCAGCGCGATCAGGAGACTCAGTCTGTCCCACAGGTTGGCAAGTGAGCTGAGGCAGATCTGAGACCCAGCTCTCCCGACTCAACTTTTTTTTTCTGGAAAATGAGTGCCCTGAGCTTCGGAAGGTCTCAAGGTTCAAATTCTTAGATCATCAGTCCTCACCTGGGGGACCTTCCGCAGCTTGGCTGCCGCCTTCTGTGTTCCCCGTGGCCGCACGCAAATACCGTGCGACGTCGCTGTGGCCTCGCTCCTCAGCCAGGTCCACGGGCAGGCGGCCCCGGGCGTCGCGCACATCCAGCCGCGCTCCTGCCCGGTGCAGCGCCACCAGCGTGTCCAAGAAGCCCTCCCGGGCGGCGTCGTGTACCGGTCGGGTGAGGGTGGCGGGGTCCGCGCGGTTGGGCTCTGCGCCGTGGAGCAGCAGGAGCTGGGCCACACGGGCGTTGCCCATCATCATGACCTGCGGGAGAGAGCAGAGTGGTCAGGGAGAGGATGCTGGCAGAACTGTTTGCCAGAAGTCTTATCTGTGAAGTTGCCCCCCCCCCCCAAGCAGACGCCTGTAAAAACCACAGGTGTCTAATCACCCCTCATTTGCTTCCAGTTACCAGCTCCCTTCTCCAGTTCTCCCATCCATCCCATTTTCCAGTACGCATTGAATTCCATCATATTGTCAAACTTTTGCGGAGCTTTAGCCACAGGCAGAACGCTGCCAGAGTCACAGGCAACAGCAAAAAGGGAGGAACAAAACGGCTTTTACTACAGCCTAACTTGCTGTATTTCCTCCCTCGTTTTGAGATGAAATTATGTTGGCCTGGAGATTTTGTTTAGCTCACTGCTGTATATCCAAGCCCAGATCATGATAATTGTTAAAAAGAGAAAAAAAATTTAAAATAACCCTCAGTTTTCAAGCTAATTAACTTATCACCTCAAATATTTGACTTTTTCGTCAAATGAACATGTGACATTTACTCTTAGCGATACTGAAATGTTTAATACTCAGTTATCAGCTATATTCACCAGACTATACAATAGATCTTAAAAAAAATCAAACTTATTCCTCCTATCTAACTCAGGTGTTGTACCCTTTGATTATCATCTCCCCATTCCCCCACCCCTTAGCCTCTGGTAACCATCATTCTACTCTTTGCTTTTATGAATAAAGTTATTTTAGATTCCACATATGAGAACAGGCAATATTTGTCTTTCTGTGTTTGGCTTATTTCACTTAGCATAATGTTTTCCAATTCAAAAACTTTAATTTCTTTGTGTATAAAATGGGAAGGCTTATCTAATTAGCCCTAAAATTCCTTCCTGTGGTAGGCTGAATAATGCCCCCTAAAGATGTCAACTTCCTAATCCTCAAAAGCTGTGAATATAATGACAAAAGATACATTACAGAATATGATTAAATTTAGGGTCTTCAGGGAGATTATCCTGGATTTTCAAGGTGGGCCCAACATAATGACAAGTGTTCTCATAAGAGGGTCATAGAGAGAAAAAATGAAGAGTGGAAGCAGACATCAGACAGAAGATACAGGGGCCATGAGCCAAGAAATTTGATAGTCACTAGAGCTGGAAAAGGCAAGGAAACAGTTTCCCCCTTAGAGTTTCCAAAAGGAAAAGAGCCCTGTGGACCCATTTTAGACTTCTGACCTTCAGAACTCTAAAATAATAATTTTGTGTTTGTATTGGTCATTAAATTTGTGATAATTTGTTACAATAGCTATAGGAAATTAAAACACTTCCCAAGCTTGTGATTTGAGAGTTCATTAAATGGGAGATGATCACCTCTTTGGTTCCTAAATTACCTTTGAAACAAAGCCCTTCCCAAAGAGGAATTTTTAAAATGGTGTCTATAATCACAGCAATTTTACAATGTGAGTGCTGCATAGTGAGTGGTGGTGGTAGTTGACAATTCCTTTTAGGATAAGGTTATATCCTATATCCTTTTAGGATTTGGTTATATTAGCTCAGGGATATTGACATTATAAAGAGGAATTACTTATTTTTAGTTACATTCTGTATCAATTAAACACAAATTATTTAATTTGTCTAAATCAAGAAACCATAATAAATTATATTACGGTTGAATCCTGCCCTGAGAAAGTGAAACTGACTTAGTTTTCAAAAACACAAGGAGAAAATATAAGCTAACCAAATTATACCTACAAAAAGAAAAAAAAATGCAATGTGCAGTTCTGTGTAACTAAGGAAGTCCTTCATCTTGGTCATAAAACTGGTCTTAAATGTTTTTCTTATATTTCATGGCATGAAAAAGCTGACAAGTAACCCACATATAAATACTTAAATCATGATAGCAATCCAAAGCAAAAAGAAAATGAATCAATTAAATGAAAATTTTTAAGGTGCTTAAAACCATTTGATAAGAAACTAATTTGAATTTAGTACTTTAAATTTTTTTTCTATAAACTAAGGTTTCTACATTTAACACCAATTTGGTTAGGGTTCTAAAACAAAAGCATACCCCCTTTAATCCATATTCTTCTCCCCCCATTAAAAAATTATCAAAACTAATTATCCACTTTTTCCTTTTTGTATTTAAACAAATGAGTCTCTTCTAACACATTTTAGGACTCCTGGTCTCCAAGCTGCTGGCAAAATTTTAGAAATGCCAAAGTATGAATCACGAATGCATTACTTTTAAAGGACCCACAGTTATCTTGTGTAACCACCCAACCTCTCTAGTCTCAAAATTTCTGCACACTTCAGATCTCAAATAACCTCAAATTTTAAGCATTTTGGCTTTTTTATATATGTATTTTAAAGTTTAAAAATTAAACCTGTGTAATATAGTTTCAGGAAGGAGGTCATTAGTGAAGTTTGCGAAATTCCAAATAATTTTCCTTTGTCTTTTTATGCAATATGTATTTTGTTTTATATAAATTTTCTTTTTCAAAATTACAATCACTGTCGCCACTGGGAATAAAACTAGGGTGGTGACTGTCAGGAAAAATTGTTTTTTAGTCTGAAATTTAGGAAGTTAGTGAAGGCAAACAAATAAAAAACCCACCGACACTCCTTTCCCCGCCCCTCACAAAACCAAAGTCTAAAGGAGAAATACACTTGTCGCAATGAGGAATTGAAAACTCTATCCCAAGTAAGTTAAACTGTATCAACTAAGTTAACAACAGCAAAAATAATATTAGGTATGCCCCAAATAGTAACTAAATTCACAACTTTATCTTAGGAGAGATCACACTAATGTTTTTCTTCATAAATGTTCATCTTTATTTCTTAAGTTCTTCTAACAAGCACATATTTCCCCTACTCATTTAAAATAAAAATAAACACAGTATGTAGTTGCTTCTGAATAATTTCAATTGATATTTATTCCAGCTTACCAGGCAGTAGATTTCCACTGAAATCCCTCCTACCAAGGAAGATGATAAGCTCCATTCCGGGGTTTGTGAGTTAGGGGCTAAGTAGTCCCAACAAATCTTACATTTCTTTAAAAATCGCCTTTTATTCCAAACGTTCGTAAGTTTTATATCTGATAAAAAGCATACCCCGATCTAATACAAATATGCTCCCCCCCCCCCCCAGATCTCCAAAGCATTCTAGAGATCTGCAGCACCAAGTCTCCTCACTTCTTTTGTGCCTTCCCGAGCCCCCAGGGCGTCGCCAGGAGGAGGTCGGTGATTACAAACCCCTTCTGAAAACTCCCCGGGAAGTCTCCCCTTTTCCCAGAATCGAAGCAGGACCTGGTTCCGATGCAGCTGCCAACTTTGTCCTCTAGAGTTGCCCGCCCGCCCCTTCTCGCGCTGCACACCCTCTGTCTACCTGAATCGGGGTCCGACCGTAGCGGTTCGGCGCGTTGGGAGGCGCCCCCGCCTCCAGCAGCGCCCGCACCTCCTCGAACTGACCCCGGGCCGCGGCCGCGGCCAGCCAGTCGGCGGTGGGCTCCATGCTGCTCCCCGCCGCTCCCCGCTCGCGCTTTCCCCTCCCCAGCCGCGGGGGAGCGCTTGCAGCCCGCCCCGCTCTCTCGTGACCAGCCCGCCCCTCCTCTTTCTTCCTCCCCGGCTGGCGGAAGAGGCCCCCAGACTCTGCCCCTCGACTCCTCCTGCGGGATCGCGGCGTCTTTCCATTGCAGGAGGGCGCTGTTCACGTGTTCTCCGAGAAAGTGCCATTCTCTCCGAACACGCCGCGACCGTGACACCCTGAAGTCGGCCCACTCGGGGCTCTCCTGGGGGCACCGGCCGGAAGCGGTCCTCGCCCAGAGCCGACCCAGCGGTGGGAGGAGGGCGCCCTGGGCTCCTCCCCACCTGCCCCCAACTCCGCGCCCCGGCTGCCCTCCTCACTGCTGCACCCCACCCACCCGGTTCCCCGACCGTGGCAAGGGCGCACGTGGGTCTCGGAGAGCGTTCATTGTGTTAAAGCGAAATTTCCCCTACGTTTCCTTCCTCCCCGGTACAACCTCCTGGCACGAGAAAGCTGCGCGAGGTTCCTAACTGCCAAATTTGAACCAGGGTGTTCGATGAAGAAATTTCAGAGCTATCCCTTCCTGGTGGTAAGAGCCCCACCGAGGATCTTTATCGCCCGTATGACTAGGAAGCATTCCTTCTTTCCGACGACTCTCCCCCTCCCCCGCTCAACCGTGGCTTTCCCCGCGATTTACCATGCCAGAATCCTAGCTCAAAGGATTCATTTTGGAGAGTTAGTCTGCGCGCCAGTCCGCTCCGCCCAGCCTCTGCCCCCTCCCACGTTTAAAACGGATGTCTGGAGCGAGGGTGTCCGGTGTCTCGGGCATGTGCATTACCTGGTATAAGGGCTGGCTAGGAAAAGATGAAGTCTATTTAATACGGATGGGGAAGAATTCTGCCTGTAAGCAGCCAAGAAAGTGGGGAGGGAATCATTGGAAGGACAGACTCTGTTCTTAACGAGTCATTATTCTTAGACCAGAAGAAGTGCTCGGTGTTCTAGAGGCAGAGTTGTACAGTGATTCAGAGACCAGGCTCACACACTGTCCTGGGTCTCCTTGCAAACCCCCCATACTTCTTGCTACTGAAAATATCTTGCATTTTTCTTAGTTACAAAGGCGGGCGGTGGGTAAGGGTGGTCCCTGCCTTACAGGATGGTTGTGAGTTTAAATGAATTGATGTGTATATATGCATTAAGAACAGTGCCATACATCCTAAACTAAGACCTGTTAGCTATTAAATTATCCATTTTGAGAATTCTCTTGCAATCTTTTTGTGAGGCACAGAAAGAAAATGCTTTGGATAGCATTATCACTATTATATAAAAAGAAAGACCAAGAAGGCCTTAACCACTGAAAGGATGATGGGTACCCTCTACCACCCTTACATATAATGAAATGTTAAACAAAACTAAAGGGTATATAACAAGAAAGGAAATATAACATAGTTCTACTATTTCCTGTGACTATTACTTTTTGTGCTTTTAAATATATATACACACACTCTCATATATATGTATACATTACATTTTTAAATATTGGATCGCTCAGGCTTTGCTGATGTCTAATGTGCATGTTTAATCTGCCTACTGGATAATCCAGCACTGTTTAGAAGTTATGTTTCAATTCCTGGTTGACTTATCTTGTGGACCCAGAATACCTTATTGTACTTTCAGTTAAACATGCAATTTTAAAGTGATGCCAATGAAAACACCTTGGCGATGTTACATCTGTTATACAAATCCACAAGACATCACTGTGCCATCCGTATTTTCCTTCAGGCACCTCTCAATTATCTGGGTAGCAATGATGTGGAAATTTCAAACTGTAAATAAAAAACATAAAATTCTTTTAATTTAGCTTAAGGTATTTTATGATGGGAAAGGGGGAAATAGTGGTTGTGATGATGAGAGGGAGGGCACAGACTTCTTTTGTAACATGTCTGGCTTTTAGACCAATATCAATATTAGTTTCCATCACTAAAATAATGGTTCTTAATCTTGGGGATGGGGGTGGGGAGGTGGGAAGAGTAGGCTCATTCAAGAACCTGTTGAAAGCTATAGACCTTCTCCTCAAAAAAAAAAAAGTATGTAATGATTTTTTTTTTAAAGGTGGGTTCACCAAGGACAAACATTTCTGAATAAAATTTTCAGGAAATTCAAGGATTGCTTTGAAAGTCAATTATGGATTCCCACATCAAGAACTCTAGCTCACACTTGTAATCCTAGCACTTTGGGAGACTAAGACAGGAGAGAGCGCTTGAGCCCAGGAATTTCAAATTTGAGGTTGCTGTGAGTTACCATCACTGCACCCTAGCTAGGGCGATAGAGTGAGACCCTGTCTCAAGAAAAATCAATCAATCAATCAATAAACCAAAACCAAAAACTCTGAGCTTTTCTGCAATATTTTGCGCTATTGGGAGATAGAACCCTACAAAAACAATCTTTGGATGCATTATATACGGACATGGAATTGAATGCTTTGCAAATATCTAGAGCAGAGAATAGGTTTTAGACATGCATATACTAGCTCAGGCATTTGCAGTAGAGCTCCAGAAGAATTATGGCATCCTTGGGTGGGGTCCCTTTATTCTAGAAATTGGCTCCATTATCAATTATAAATCTTGTATAAATAAATAGCTAATAATAGTGTGAAAACATTCCCAGTTATTCTTTTAAAGAACCTACCACACTTCCACTTTACTTATACATATCAGTTCGGATCTGAGGGGCAAAACCCCAGAATTAAAATATAAAGCCCAGGATCCTGGGCCTCATTATGCCAACCTCAGATTTCCCATGTGTAAAATGGGACCATAATATATTTCATGGGTTTATAAAAATAAGATCATGTATGTCAAAAAGTTTTCTAAATTCTAAAGTTTGTTGGTTTCTGTTATTTCATCCCCATACTTACTTTTCCTCTTCCCTGAGAATGCCATGATCTTTTTTAGGTCTGTGCTGCCTTGGCAGTTTTGAAAATCTATACAATTAGATTTAAATGTCTCAATTCTGATCAGTCTTTTAAAAAAAATATGGTACCACTTATTCATTCATTCCACAAGCTCAGAGGCTAAGGGTAGGAATGGGGTGAGGGTAGGTTAAAGGTAAGAACTCTAGAGCCAGACCACCTGGGTTTAGACCTGGGCTTTTCCACTTACTGGCTCTCTGACTTTGAACAAAGTTACTTAATGTTTCTGGGCATCTATTTTCTCATTTGCATGATTGGGATAACAATAGTACTCACTTCAAACAGTTGTTTGGGGGATTAAATTATGAAGCATTACATGTAATGATTTCAGAAGAGCAAAAGGAAGCAGAAGATAACACAAGAAAATGAAAAGGGAACCAGAGCAATTCTAGTGGCTTAGCCAAAGGCTTCCTGGATGCTGAGAGCTGATCCCAGTCTTGAAGAAAGATGAAAGTGTATAAAGATGGAAAAGAAGAAGAAAGATGTTCCAGGTAGAGGTGAGAACATGTGCAGATGCATAGAAGTTTATGAAAACTGAAAGTAATTCACTGGAACATATGGAGAGAGCCTGGAAAAATGAACTTCTGAAAGAAGAGGCTGAAAAAGAGCCTGTGCAGGATTGCTTAGAGAGCCAGAAGGAAAACCAAGAGTGAGTGGGATGGCAAGGAAGTGGGGACACTTGCATGTGAACTATCCTTTCACAGCTCAGCTGTGATAGTTCAAGGACAAGCATGGTGAAGCAAGGCAGATGGAAGGTGGAAGAGATCTGAGCACATATATACCTTGAAGGGAAAGCGCCAGGTGAAAAAAAGGCACAATTAGAAGAGAATAAAGAAAAAAAATAAAAGTTAAGCACACAGCAAGATAGGGTATTTCTGAGAACCCGAAGTTCCTAAAAGGTCAGGAAGAAATGGAACTCAAGGCACAAGGGGCAGTCATATATCTGGACACAATAGATACAGGTAGATTTGAGGAGGAAGAAAAGGTCAGAGCAGGGAGGAAGTGCAGGCACTTCTTTTCCATGATTGCAGAGGCCAGCTTGCTTGCAGAGTGAGGATGAGCTGGTGGGTTAGGAAGTTTAAGAATGGTAAAAGTTTGGAATGATAAGAATGGTAAAGGTTTCCTCTTGTAAAGAAAGGTGATGGACCTGAGTAGGACTCAGAGAAGCCTTTTTATCAGACTGGAGGGCCCAGCTGAGAGTGGAGATCATGACACTATAGGGACACCTGACTACTTTCTCTAAACTAAGGAGAACCTTGCAATGGTGCTATTACTTCAGAAACCCTACAAATCAAGTAATAATAATACTGATGTAGATATTAACTCAACACATCACCAGAGACAAATATATTAATATTTGAGAAGGTAGTGTTCTGAAATTAGGTATTGCAGGATTGGCAAGGTATGATATGCATGATATGCAAGTATTTCATGTGATAAGCAAGATGATTTTGCTAGGAAAATAAAAGGAGTTGAAGCAATAACTCTAGAGTGGGACTGAGTGACCAAGTGACCTGATTTATCTAATGAGCTGGTTTTTTGACTGTAAAATCCTTTATGACTATTTTTAGCTTCAATGTCCATAATTTAAAAAATGATCTATATCTTGTTCTATCCTTTATGCTTAATGAGATTATTACATCAAGTAGACAGTACACACATAGTAAAACATGTTTTAAAAGCATACACATATATTTATTTATCATTTTCAATATTAACATTGTTATTAAAAACAATTGTTTAAAATATATTTTGAGGTTAAAAATAAAATATACATAGAATATCTCTGGAAAGATATAGAAAAAGCTGTTAACTGCGGGGCAAGGACATGAAGAACTGGGATGGATATGAGACTTACTTTTCACATTCTGTAATTGTATTGTTTGAATTTTGTACTATGTGCATAGCCCTTCTAATGAATTAAATAAACATAACAAAACTGATAGACAAATGAGTTAACTATTTTTAGAATCATCGTTCCTAACTTTACTGACAAAGAGTAACTGAGTACCTACTATATGTCAGGCAC